AGCTCTTGACAGCGCTCTCACTCCTGGTTCTGTTGTTGGCTGCTTATTAATTGTTTTAATTTAAAAAGTTCATGGAACAAGCATAGAGACCAGTGACAGTCTCAGGTACACAAGCAGTGAGCAACAAGGACTAGGTTTCTGGCCGCATTCGCGCGAGTCCACACAGCTTCGATCTCTATCTAACAGGAAGGGAGAGCACACCGTACCTTGACTTTGGCAGTGCATCCCGAGAGCCGAAAAATGCCTTCAGATTCCAGGCCTGACTCCTCGACTTTCTCAAAAAACTGAAAACAAGGAGATGTTACAAAATAAGTACCCTCGTGGTCACAGTCACCTGAAGTAACACGGAGGACGACAGCGCCTGGCGCAAGCCCGCGCTCGTGCCTCTGCCCAGCATGCCAGTGCCCTCTTACAGCCTCCCTGCAAGGTCAGCGTCACCCGCACCCTCCAACCTGTGGACGAGCAGCTGGGGGCGCTCAGCTCCCCGAGACCCGCCCGTGCCGTGGTGATATCATGCTGCCTCGTAACCACTTCGAATTCCAGTGGCAACATCTCTTCAGGCAGGCTGAGCAGCAAGGGAGTCTGAATCTACCGAGCTGCAGCCACTCTGGACGGCGGAGACCCATGAGCACACTTAATCCTGGCCACGGTCCTGTAAGGAGGCCCTGTTCCGTACCATACTGAGGTATGGGACAGCCAAACAATGGCTACAGCTTCACAGAGAGCACAGGCTCCCATGTCTCTGCGGTCCCTAGGAGCACTCACACCAGTAGTGACAGCAGCTCACGTGGGTGGAGTGACCAGTGACACAAGTCCAGATTTACTGGAGCACTTGCTGAGCACCTCTGTTGGCTGCCATGGGCTAAGTCTCTGCTAGGTTCTCACACCTACAAAACCACTTATATCCCTGTCCAGAATCTTCTGTCTTAGGTTTTTATGTGGAAGACAAAGGGAATAATTCTGGCTATAATTCAAAGACGGGAAGAAAGTCTTAGAGCTGCGTGTGAACTGGGCCTGGCACACCCCTCAGCCTCTTCTGCTTTGGCTGCTTCCTTGGTAGAAGGTGGAGGACAGCCCTGACCTGAGGTGCCCTGGCTGAAGGTAAGGGATATTTATTATGTGACAGGGGTGTGGCACAGCCCTGTGGAGGGGTCGGTGGCCCTGGGCTCAGAGGTGCCACCTGCATCCTCTGGCTGTCTGGAGCAACCCTGCTGCTCTTGTCATCAGGCCCGCAGGACCAGCTCAGCTTGAGGTGCTGCTAGCAGAGAGCAGGAAGACCAAGTGGGGTGCAGAACTGTGGGTGTGAGGTAAAGCACTGCAAGTTCTCTCCATTTGTACTTCTACAAAACATCTGAAGCCCCATGTTAAATTTCTGCAAGGCTTGTGGCGAGGACTTGGACTGTTACTGGAGTCACTGGATGTCACTGCTGAGCGAATGCACACTTCCTGGACCAGACGTTATGAAAACCCAACCTAACAGCAAACCAGCTGCTCAGCCCTGAAGGCCCCGGAGATGCTCAAGGGTGCCAGCTCGGACCAACATTTAAGCCAGAGTTCTTGGTCTAACTATGATCTGCCTCTCACACCTGACAATGTCCCAGAATAAGCTGCGTTTTAGACTTTTTTCACCTTTGTTTGGAAAATTCAGAAAATAGTTATACATTCATGTTTTAAGAAATTCAGGGTGAGATACAGGTCAACAAGTACTACGTGATCAATAAATACATCGTTAATAGTTAAGGTCCATCTTTAGCCAGACAAATGCATAAACACATGAAAAAATAAAATACATCTGCTTTTTTTTGGCACATGACATCTGAAAAAGTAGTAGAAAGGAAGCGAGGGACAGAGCCACTGTGTCTGCCCCCGTAGGGTCACACCACACAACAGGCACCTGGGCGTAGAGCCTGCTTGTTGCCTCTGGGGTTGACAGGTGGGCAGCCTGGTCTCCAGCGTGCTGTGTGGAGGTGGTGGGGGCGCAGTGGGGGTGCAGTGGGGGCCACTCCTGGCTCCCCAGCTCTCTGGCTTCCTGTCTGGCCACGTGTTCTCTCTTCCTGCAGCGCACATGACTGTCAGCGCTGTCACCACCACAGGGTGACCTAGCAGGGGTAACTGCTCCAGAGCTGGCACCACGCTCTGTGGGCATGCAGCCGCCAAGACCAGGAGGGAAACCAGTTTGTTTTCTTACAGAGTCAGCCTCGGGGCCTCTGCTACAGCAAGGAGAGGTGGGCGGGAGGAAAGGCCGCGTGGCCTCAGCGCTTGCAGCCAATGTACGCCACCAGGGTGAGGCTGAACGTCACCCTGGCTGTGCCGTGAGCAGGACTAGGGTGTGTTCAGATGGCAAGGGAAACTCATTCGAGGGCTCACAAGGTCCCTGACACCAGCAGAGGCTCGAGTGCGTCCCCGCTGTTTGTGTTCTACTCACTTTCTGCAGTACAAGGGGGACTTTCACCGCAGGGTCCTTCTTGTGGTCATTGTCTAGGAGCACGGTAAGTGGAACTCCGAAGATCCCGTTGTCTTCATTGTGGAAAGTCAAGGGAGAAAGAAAAAGGAATCAACAAAGCACTTTCCCTGCAGTGTGTGAGGGTCAGAGCCAGAAGCCATTGGTCCTCTGAGTTACCTCGTCCTTTCACTTTCTCTGTTTTGTTTCTTTTCAGTTGAATCCCAAAGGCATCAAAAAAGGCGGTCAACTCGATCAGAGAGAGATGGCGGATCTTCTTCATGTCTTCAGCTGACAGGTCTCCTGCTTCCGTGTGCCCAAATCTGGTCTTCTGAATGGTAAATTTCTAAAATACATAGGAAGATACTGAGCTTTTATGGCCAAGGAAAATTATTATAGCTCTACTCAGTGCTACCTGGACACTGTACATCTACACCGCTGTTACAGTTTATGTGTAGACACTACCACCCCAAACCTCATGGGCTCATCGGTTGGGCTTTGAGCAACACGTGGGTCGTGGGGCTGATGCTCATGGTGAGTTAGTCCGTGGATGAGTTTATGGCTAATGTGATGCTGGGAAGTGAAGCATGATGGGAGGAGGCGGGGCACTGGGGCCAGGGAGGGCCTGGCAGGTCTGTCGCCCTCCTCCCCACTTGATCTCCCTCTGCTTCCTACAACCCTGCCACGGACCATTTCTCCTCTGCCTTGCTGCCCTGACTGGATTAGAACCTTTACCAACTGTGAGCAAAATGAACCTCTCTCCTCCTTTAATTTGTGAGTGTCAGGCAGGTTGTCCCAGCAATGAAGACAGTAACTAAGGCAACAGCAAGGCATGATGTTCACAGAAGCACTCTCCGGAGCATGCTGGGCCCCAGGGAGACTATGAGAACGTCTGAAAGGCCTGACTTCACCACCACAGCTGGGTGGACCGCATCTCCTAAGGGACATCCTGCCCTGCCAAAGAGCGGAGGAGCCGAACACCGTAGTGACACTGCACAAAGCAATCTTCTTATCTGGATAACACACGGAGACATTCCTAGGTCTAGCCCAAGATGGCTGTGGGAGGTCTCAGTGCAGACAGTCCTCTGTAGTCAGGCTGCGCATATTCTACAGCTACATACTTTGAAAGACTCAGTAACCTCCCCACTGTCCGGATTACCTGTGCTTGCTCAGACAGCAGTTATTCTATCTTAAAAACGAGACTTCGATGATTCCAAAGTCCTAAGAGGGCAAGATGCACTCAAAACACAATCTTACTAGCTTCCTGAAAACAATATTGTAATACCTTCCATTTCCACACAAAGAAATAAAATGCACTAAAAGATCAACGAAAAGAATCTAAAACACTGGGGACAAGTAAGGGCCAGTAAAAGATGATTCTTACGTAAGATCCAGACGTCTATTCTCAGAGAAATGGACATTGAAAAATATGCTGAAGCAATAAAAATCCCATAGTTTTTTAAATTACAAAGCTTTAAAATATACCATGTACAGGGGCTCCCTAAGTCAGAGATAACTGGGGGATACTATGCCATCTACCTATGCATTGGAACCCTAAGTACTTAGAAGACTGAGAATTGTAGCCTGTAGCTTGTGCTATTAAACCCTCTTCACTATCTTCCTGCAGTAACCCATAGAAACCACTTCACTCACAGTGCTAATCCTGCCTGCTAAGCCCAGCGGAGCCCTTCCCTGGAGATGAACTGCGTGCCAGCGGGCGTGACTGAGGATGAGGAGGCCGGTAGGGCTGCCCCTGACACGATCCTCCAGGGCCTCCTATTCTGTCTTGAAACACCACTCTGCCCTCCATGTGGGGGCTTCTTCGGGAGCAGGAAGGGTTGGGGCTTTGAACACATGACTCAGTCTCTCTGGGCCTCAGTTTTCTCATGTGTAAAAGGGAGTAATCACCTGGGTCCACCAGCAACTGGAGCCCCTGGGTCCACATCAGCCAGTGGACAGAGTGTTCCTTGTCCTCTCCTTCCCTGACATTGCAGAGCTGTTGTCTGGGCATGATCCAGGCTGTCTGGTGCAGCAGGCCTGTTCCTGAGGACTCACGCCTTGAGCTCTGACACATCCCAAGGCCTGCGCCCGCAGCCTGCAGCTCTGATTAGCAGAGAACATGCAGGTCTCCATGTCAGGAATTCTGCAAACATGTGTTTATTTAACAAACAGCAAATAGATGAGTGTGACCTCACTCTGGGTCAGGCTTTTTGGACACAATGTTCCAGACACAGATGGAGGCTTTTGGGGACAAGTGAAGTGTGAGGACACTGACGAACAGGCTGAAACCACCTCTGTGCTACTGTTAGGATCTACATGGACCTGTCTAGAAGGCTTGCTACCTAGTCTGTGGACTATTGGGAGCTTGTTGGACCTTTAGGAGGCGGGGCCTCCTGGAAGGAACTGAGGTCACTAGGGGCGTGGCCTTGTGGAACGCTGGGACCCAGGCCTTTCCTGTTTCTCATTTCACTTCCTGCCCACCATGAAGTGAGCAGCCTGCACCACACGTGCTCAGCCTGAGGTGCTGCTGCCCAAACACTGCAGACCAACTGACCACTGAAACCTCAGTAACTGAACCAAAACGCATCCTTCCTCTTTTTCCGCTGATTTATCTCAGGAGTTTTTCAAAGCAATGGAAAGCTGACTAACCCAGTCCGTGAACCAAGGATCTAAATTCACAGCTTCTCCTCAGCACAGCTACGTAGGTGCAGCTACGTGGGCTGGCACGGCGCGGGAAAGGGCACTGCCCCGCAACACCCCCGGCGGTGGTAGGCACACCACGCTCAGCCTCCCAGCCCCTGGCGCTGGCAGCTTTTGCTTTTGTTTTCTTTAGGTTCTCAGTTTGGTCCAAGGAGAAGTTCCAGAAAGTTCCTGGAGTAACCACGAAGGGTTTCACTTACAGTTAAAGCATAGTCTTCTTTCTTAATTTCTGACTTCTTCAGTTTATTTCTTTTTGGGGCCTCTGTAACCATCTCCGAGTATGACACTTCAAAGGACAGCTCTTCAGCCTCTGTTGGAATGTCCTTTTCCAGATAGTCAGCATCTCCAAAAACAAAGATGTTGGATATCTCTTACGCCACTCAGCCAACACTGTTTGCCATAAACAGCCGCACGAGACTCACAATGTGACCCTCAGCACATGAGAATGGTGACGCCTGGAAAGAAGCCTCCGCCGCCCCCAGGCGCTCAGCAGAGCAAGGACTGGGGAAATCAGGCGGCCTGAATGAATTCCTCTCATCGTCCAAACAAACTTTCCATTTAGTCTGAGCTCTCAAAGCTTAACTTTTTATGTCTCAGAAAGTTTGCTGCTAAGAATTATTTAGAGCCAAAGACCCCAAACAGGGCACTTCTCTATACTCTTGTATTATTAAGTAAACCCCATTAGACTTGGTGCTATTGCTTGGGGGCCAAGAGGAAGGGACGCCATGTCCCCACTAACATTCCTCTCTCCTCTTGTTCTGTTTCTCCCCAAACTGTGGACCATTTGCCTCTTAAGATTTGCTTAGGGCTGGTGAGATGGCTCAGTGGTCTAAAGCACCTACTTAGAACAAGCTTAGCAAAGCACAGGGACCGCGGTTCAATCCCCCAGCACCACATGCCAGCCAGCCCTGCCCCCTGGTGGGCTGAGCTGCCCCCCCCCCCGTTAATTAATTAAAAATTAAAAAAAAAAAAGATTTGCTTAATTTTGACCTAAGATGCCCCTGCGAGGTTTGTGGGGTAGGTAAATGGGAAGTGCCATCATCGGACACTCGCCCCCTGCCTTGCACGGCGCATACCATGAGTGGCTGATGGTGCCCGTCGTGCCCCTTGGAGCGCCAAGGGGCTTCAGTGAGTCCAGAAGTTAACACAGAGGATGCGTGCCTTTGACCAAAGCCAAAGGGATCCATGAAATCCAGAGCAGCCCTGCTCTCTGACCTCGGACTCTGGTGTGGTACTGGGCTCTGCTGTGCTGAGCTGCTAGTGCAAAGGTAATACTCGTGTTTTCAGTTTTTATTAGCATGGTTTGCAGCACGTAACGACTGCATTCACTGGGGGGAGCTCGTGCAGGTCACAGCACATGTGGATTCTTCTATGTCCCCTCTCCTCCCTCCTCCATCTCTGTATCTCCTCCTCTTTGCAAAAGATCTACCTCTTTGTTTTTTATTATGTAGCTTTCATGTTTTTCTTTAAGTTATTTATCCATCAGGTTTCTTAGAAAAACCATTCACTATTTAAGTTTGTGCACCTGATTTATTTCACTTAACATTCTCGTTAAGTTACAGAAAATGTATATATGCACAATGGAGTACTACTCAGCCATAAAGAAGGGCAAATCTGACTCATTTGTAGAAAAATGGATGCACATTGATGTTTGTATGCATCAGCTTAAAGTACATTAAAATAAACAACACAGAGGCACTGTTCAGGGTGCCAGAACAACAGCCGCACGACCCGGCTTGGTCGCAAGAGCAGGTCATGCACTCACCACTCAGTGCGCGCGGAACCATCTGTCCGGACTCGGCGGCGCCGTTGGAGTGGACCGGTGCATCCGGGATGGCCTCGAGCAAGGGCTGCCAAGCAAGGGGAGAGGAGCACACAGCAGTTTACCGAAGTGCGGTCTGCCCTTCCCGCAACCCGACTTCCAATGCAGGGTGCTTGAATTCTGCTCCCAAGCAAGCCAAGCTCCTAATTTCACAGGCGGCCTGCGCAGACTTCCTTTGTTTCTGCATTCAGTCTAGACACATACAACTCACCCGGGGCTCGAGGGGAACGACCGCAGCGCCTGCGCAGTGGGATCCTTTCAGGGCTTCAGTATTTCTTGGCGCACACTGCTAGGTTGTACGATTTGCAAGGCTTGATGTTGTATACTTTGTACCTCAACGATTTGTTAAACTTGATGTACACTGTCCTGCTTACATTAATGTTACCAAGTTCCCTCAGTGCAAAATGCAGAACGATCACTACTAAAAATAATATTTCCCACCGTGGTTCCCCTCTTAATTATTTCCCAGGTCTCCTGCAGGGACTCCTGCCCGCACACTGGGCATTGTGCGGCTGTATCGGAAGCCAAGTCTCTCTCTGGAGGGTCCTGCATGGTGATTCTGGAGGGGTAGCACTAAAATAAATAAATAAGTATAAAAAATCACACAGAAATCCCCTCAAAAACCTTATAGGCAAGTCCTATCAGTCTTAAAGTGAGAGTTGCCTGAGTAGGTGTGACGATGGGATCTGCTGGCCCCCCAGGGATCCTTTATGTGCTGTTCACAGAAAATTCTATTCGTTTCCCTCCAGTGCCTCAGGTGGCTTCCTTCATTCTCATATTTATTTAGCAATAACTGAACACCTGCTTCATGATGGGTCTTTTATCCTGCACTACAAATTACATGAGGGAATCTCAGATTTGGAGTCCCATGTTCTCTTTTTACTCCTATTTTATTTCAAAGGAGACAATGGACTTTGAACTGCAGAAATAGCACGCAAATAGCTGGCTCACAATTAAGACGTGGGCCCCCGAACACTGCAGTGAGTGGGAGAAGCCAACACCATCTAGGACCATGGTGCTCACGGTGAGACTGACCCCACCCTCCCCCGACTCTAGAGGATGAAGACTCCCCGCAGCTGTCATCTGGGCCTGCAGTGGCCCCCAGGCTGCTGTGTGCAGGCTTGGTGCCTGCGGAGCTGGCGAACCCTTAAGCACAGGGGCCTGCAGGAGGTGAGGGTCTCTGGGCCACACCCTTGGGGGAGCACTGGGCCCAGCCCCCTTATTCCTGTGGTCTCTGCTTCCAGCTGCCCTGAGGTGAGCAGCTTGCCTCCCTCTGCTTTCTCCCATGACGCCTGGTCCACACAGGCCCCAGAACCAAACAGCCAGCCCACCAGGCCTGAAACCTCCTAAACCGTGAGCCAAAATAACCCTGTCTTCCTCTTACACTGCTCACCACAAGAGCTGTTACAGTAGCGGACACACCCATGCACTACAATTCTTCAGACATCTGGGCAGTGTTTCAGTGGCTCCCTTACGTTTTCTCAGTCTTAGTTATTGCTCCCCTGTTGCTTGGGCGACATACCTGACACCCAAAGTTAAAGGGGGAAAGGTTTATTCAGCTCTCTGAGGTCTAAATCCATCATTAGCTGGCTCCAAGGCAGAGTGGTACATGGCAGGGGGCAGCAGTTCACGGAGGAGGAAGGCAGCAAAAACAACAGAGAGAGAGAGAGAGAGAGAGAGAGAGAGAGTCTCTGTCCCTTATGTTGTACCCAGTCTCTCAGCATTAGGGCGGTGACAATCAGTGGACAATCTGGCAGTTGCCCACCCTTAAACCCAGCACACTTAATCCCAGTATTGCAGTCTGAATCAATCACACACTTTAGATTTAGCCACTTCTGAAACCTCTATGACCCCAAGAGGCTCTGGGGGGACACTGAGACACAAACCATAACAAAGTCAGACTTCCCAGGAGCTTACTGCAGAAGAGAAGACTTCTGAGAACCCAGAGACGCTGAACTGATGGAGCACGTAACACCGAATGTTTGAAGTGTTGAAAAAAAATCCCTAACTGAGAATTTCTTAATCTGCAAGTGGAAGAGCAACCATCTGCTGCCCTGGCCTGCAGCCGCCAACTCTGCAGATGCGCAGCGCTGTGTCACAGAAGTGACTGAGACGGAAGTGGAGGCACAGTCCCTGCTCTTGAGCTACTTACAAATAGGAGCACAGAAGAGCACTTTGGCCCGTTATTAAATGACACACAGCCCGGTACTCAGAGCTAATTTCAAAAACACAAGCTGTGCTGAGGGAAAATGATGGAGACAGAGAAGGGCTGCCCAGATGTGGCTGTGGATGACGTGAGCGGCCAGGATCCGGACCTTGGGGACAGCAGCAGCGGTTTGCAAAGGCCCAGAGCCCAGGAGAAAGCACTCGAGCGAGAGCTGGAAATACCGCAGACGGTTCAGTATCTGGGGTACTCCAGCATGAAAAGGCAAGAGGACACGGGAGCGCTGGGAGTTCAGTGCAGGTCTAGAAAACTGTAAGAAGTAAATTAACCAAGAGGTCCGTTCGGGTTATGGAAGAGTTCGAAAGCCAGGCAGAGGCACGGGGACTTGGAGTCATCAGGGGTAGAAAAACGCAGGAGTCCTCGGGTCAGAGCGGGAAACTGCTCAGTGAAAATGAAGAGGGGAGACCAGGCTACCATACACGGTCCTCGGGGGTGAGCAGGCAGGCCAGGCGCTGAGGGCCACACAGTCTCCCCAGAACGCTCAGGGGCTCCAGGAGCCACGCGGACACTGCAAGTCTGAGCTCAGGTACTTCTAGAAGATGCCGTTGCACTGTGCACTGAGTCTCACACTCACGCATCCGCACAGTGCTCCCCAGCAGCTCCCGGGGAGCCAGCGTCAAGTGTGAGTGCTACGTCACTGCCATACTGCACGCGCTACGTCACCTGCCGTACTGCGCGCACTACGTCACTGCCGTACAGCACCATGTAGGGGACGAGGACTCGGAAACGTTCGCGCACACTCGGTGTAGATGCAAGGGTTACAGCTGCAGCTGAACCCGTCACTTCAGTAGATGCCAGGTGACTGCGTGGCACAATGCAGCCTCCATTCCAGGCTACCGCAACTACCAATGCAGAAACCTAGAGCAATTATCGAGGCGCAGGAAGTCCTGGCCGTGACACTGAGGAGTCCTGGGGACTTCACCCTGGTGGGACACATCTGCCTGTATAGGTGTCGTGGCCAAGAGCTTGCAATCTCGACACCGCGTCCCGGAAACCTGGCACCTCGAGGAGGCCGCGGTGCCTGGTTCCCAGCTCGGAAGCCCGGTCTCGGGTGCAGCTGCCCAGGGTGGGGGGCCCGAGCACTTTCAGAGCAAGCACAGGGAGGGCTGTGGGCCGCGGTGGCCACAAAGCTACATGTCTGCAGTCTCTAGCGGAAGAGTCCTGGCTACCAGAGTCCCAGAGAACTCAGACTGAGGCTGGCAGCGGAAGGCAGCCGCTCTCCCGCTCTGCGCTGCCGTAGCCCGCCTACTTCCAGGAAGTAACCCTGAATTCTGAGTGAGGACGCACGCAGGCGCAGGCGGCTCTCTGGGGCGGAGCCATCATGACCACTTTCTTTGGTTCACACGCTCAAACTTTTCAGCTCGTTTCCCGACAATCTGTTCTCAGCACGGATTTGCGATTTGCTGAATGAACGACGGAGTGAGCCAACGCTCCAGAAAAGTTAGCGGGAAGGAGTGAACTGCAGCAGTCTTACTAGAATTAAAGGGCCGGGCCGGCCAGATAGCTCGGTGCACTCAAGCACCTGTGTAGACTGAGAGTGGCAGCCGGGTTCAATCCCCGCTGTGCTATGCCAGCCCCGTCCCCAGAGCGCACTTCTCTGAAAAGACAATTGAAACCGGGTGTGGTGGCGCACGCCTGTAATCCCAGCGCTTGGGAGGCTGAAAGCGGGAGAATCACTAGGGGGCCGATCTATGTAGTGAGACCCTGTAGACCCTGTGCGAACTACGCTAAAAAAAAGAAAAAGGAAGAAAATAGTGACCATAGGGTTGACATAGAAAAAGGCACGAAACAAGGCCCGTATACCTAACTCCTCTTCTTTGCTCCCTGGTCACGACTGTCCTCTAAGGTCTGCTGAGTTGCCCGGGAGCCGGCCTGGCCTCAGCCTGTGCCGCTGGTCCCAGGACAATACTTGAGATGCGTCAAGGGTCTCGAGGGGCTTGCATGTGACCACAGACCTGACACCACTGCAGCTTCAGTGGAGACTTACATTTCAGGTCCCCGCTCTGCAGCTCGGGTGAGGACCCCGTGGAGGGGCTCAGGCCGAGGCTACTTCGCAACAATGATGGAGGACGCTGAGATTCCGCTCTAGGAGCCTGGCTGGAAGGAAGGAGCAAGCACATTGTGCATCCGGGTGCTAAAGGGCCACGGGCCCCAGAGCGGGTCATGAAGGGCGACGGAGAGGCAGAGCTCAGGCCAAGGGGGGCAGATGAGTCTTAGGTATGCGGGTGCCTCCGGCTGCGGCAGGAGATACAGGGTCCTGGACAAGGGCTCAGAGCAGGAGCCCGTCATCAGGGGTTCAGCGCAGCTGCGTGGGCTCTGGCACAGGGAACTCCTTTGTGGGGCGGCTGGAGACAGAGTCTCGCTACGCAGTTCAGGCTGGTCTCAGCTCGCTAGTAGCCCAGGCCGGGCTGAAGCTCCTTGTGGTTCTCCTGTCTCAGCCTCCCTAGTGCTGGGGTGACAAGTTGTACCACCTCGCCAGCCACTACAGGGAACTGTTTCTTCCAATAGCTACACGAGACTTTGTGAGTAGCATCCTCTTCTTGAGAGAGCGTGGATTTGAGGCGAGGTGTGCACAGAGACACACTCACCCATCTTCTTTCAATGCGTGCCTGGTCTGTCAGGAAAATCAGAGCTGGATTTGAGGCCGGGAGTGAGACGCAGCTTCTCTCAGCCTATCTATGCGGTAACCGAGAGTTATTAAGAAGCTACTCAGGGGTGAGGCACCCACGTTATTATATTTATTTTATACACTAATCACACAATGAACACCTCACAACCAAAAGTCCAGAAACTCTATGAGAAAGCTAATGTAGGCTCACAGCGTGACTCTCCTATCGTGGCACCCTGGGAGTGGGCCATGCTGGTGTGGGCCAGATAACCCAGGACAAGTGAGTATGGGGACACTGCTGCCCAGCAGCACCTGAAGAGCCACCTCCACGCGGAGGCCTGTGGTCCTCGATGCCAGCACAGAGGCATTCCCTACCCTGTCTGCCGGCTGAGGTCCATGCTGTCCCCTGCCTGAGCCCAGCTCAGTGACACTGGGGATTCTCGGGGATGACTGGAGGGGAGGGACAGGAGTTTTAGACCAAGAAAACCACAAGTTCCTGATCCTGGAGTCTCCAGCTTCCTAATTATTTAGAGGCCGAGGGTCTGGCAGGCCAGTCTCCGTGTGACCCTAGCTTGAAGTGAGCTTTGCATTTCTGTTTAAGAGATCGATTCCTCGAACCCTCCCACATTGGCGCCTGACCTGCAGCTGTCCTCTGACATGTGACCATGCCCATGCACAGTGACTTACCACGGAGCCATGCTCAGGCTCTGTGAAGCTCCCTTGCTCCTCCTGGGACCCATTGCTCAGGGTAGGACTGTTGAGAGTTGCCTCCTGCAGCTGCAAGGAGAGACAAAAGTGCACTCTGTTTGGGGGTCTTGCAGTGTGTTTGTGCGCCCCACCCATCACGCGCTGAGGGGTGGCCCCCGCCATCCTTGGGGCCTCACACGGACCTGCCTCCAACTCCCCTGCCTCAGTACCACCTGCGTTCAGTTCCAGGCTTTCAATTGTTAAGTCGAAAGCCTGCTTTCCAGGCCAGTGGCAGCTAGGAGGACACAGGACAAGGGTTGACCACAGGGTGGAAAAGCCACTCTCTCAAGAGGCTTTCTCAGCCCAAGAGAGGGTGGACAGAGGCATGCTCAGGACAGGTGCCTCCTCTGCACAGGGTCACAGGACAGCAGAGGACAGCAGAGACCTCATTTCAACCCTGGCATGTGCCTCCTGCCTTACGTAGCTCCAGCAGAGCAGAAGTCTTCCTTTATGATTCCATGAAGCTGGACACAAACCAAAGCCATCTTTTTTTATTAATTTTATTGACAAAGAAATAGCAATGAGA